ATGGCAGATGTCGTGGGGGTCCGTGGCAGGTATGGTGGGGGTCCGTGTGCCAGGTGTGGTGGGGGTCTGTGCCAAGCGTGGTGGGACTCTGTGGCAGCTCTGCCTGCTGTCAGCACAGCTGTGGAGCCAGCTCTGCTGTGTGTTTGCTGCTGTGTTGTGTCACCATCCCCCTAACAGCCCAGAGGTCGGCCTGCCCCGACACAGCTGGAGTTGGGGCCGAGGCTGTCCCTGGGGCGGCTAGCCTGGGGGTGGGGGACAGCCAGCTGGGCCCTTCGAGGTTCCTGGCAGTACAGAGGCTGCCCACAGGGGCTCCCGGACCCGCACCGGGATCTGAGCGGGCTGTGAGGACGGGGCCCAAGGGACAGGGCTGTCCCGGAGGGTGAGGGGCAGTGCTCTATATTTAGGCCCGTTTTCGGTAAGTGCTAACGAGAAGCTGGTCCAAGTCTGCTAAAACCGGCTGGGGGAAACGCAGAGGAGAAGTGAAAGTCGGGGTGGGGAGGGCCAGGGGGACTCGGAGACCGGGGCCCCAGATGGGCAGCACCCCCGGGGCCTGGGCAGCCCCGCCAGGTCTGGGCCCTGCTCTTCCTGGTGCTCTTAAATCCTGGCTCACTGCTGGGACTGGAGAGAGGAAGGGAAGTCCAGGCGAGCAGCTGCAGTGAGCGAAGCTGAGGGTGACAGGGCCCTGCTGACTACCGACCAGGAGCTCCCTGGCCAGTGGCACCCATGGCGACAGTGGCGACTGGAGCAGAGGCGGGCGGGTTCCTGGGACCCTACTCGGGTCCTGACAGTGGCCCTGTGTGGGGCGGGGGCCCTGGTGTGCCCCTTTTCTCCCAGCAGGGTCTCAGGGTGAAGGAGCAGGAACCACGGGGCACAGGACAGGGGTGCCCTGGGGTGGGGAGGGCACTGAGGGAAGGAGAGGGTGGGCATCTCCCCTCAGCCCTCCTGCCTCCCAGCCAGTGCCCCAGCAGATACCGAGACACGGGACAGCTGCATGTAGGTTTGGGCTGGGCTGCTGGGATGGCCGGGACAGAGGCCCAGGGCCTTAGCTGGCATCATTCATCGCAACGACATGGACCCCTCAGACTGGGAGACTGGGATGAGGGCATCACTGCCCAGGGGTCAGCTGTCTCAGGTAGGTAGGAGCATGGGGGCCCAGACGAGAGAGACTCCAACCACCTGGCAAGTCCAGGGGGACTTCACAGAGGAGGTGTCCTAGCAGCTGGACCTGAAAGAGGAGCAGGATCATAGAGGTTACCCAGGGGATGGACAGAGGCAAAGGAGCACCGAGGGAGGGGACTTGGGGCCAGCCCCGTCCTTTTAACCTGATCATTTCATGCTGGGCATCGTGGCTTGACCCAGCATGACTTGACCCCAGGGCCAGTCAGATCTGCGCGGAAGGGGTTCCAGTCAGATATGGAAGATGTGGGCAGAGAAATAGGAAAGTGGGGAGGGTGCTGACCTTCCAGGCGGCCAACCCTGGTTGGATCCCCGGCATCCCATAGGGTACTCTGAGCACTGCCAAGAATGAGCCCAGAGTACAACTGGGCGTAATTGAAGAAATAAAATCAAACACAGTAGAGAACTAAATTTATTTAGAAAGGGGCTGGAGCGATAGCACAGGGGGTAGAGCATTTGCCTTGCATGCGGCCGACCCGGGTTCGATTCCCAGCATCGCATATGATCCCCCGAGCACCACCAGGAGTAATTCTTGAGTGCAGAGCCAGGAGTAACCCCTGTGTATCGCCGGGTGTGACCCAGAAAGAAAAATTAGGAAAATTGAAATAAAAACAGCAAAAAGATGGGGTAGATGGCTCCAGGCTCCCAGAACATTGATGGGAGAGGCTGGGCCCCAGGGAACCAGGGTGGAGTGATGGGGCAGGGGTGGCAGGGAGGTGAAGTCTGAGAGGAGGAAGCCTGGACCGGGGCCTGCGGGGTGGGGAGCGGGTGGCTGGATGCACTTTGGGGCGCAGTGGCCCGGGCAGAGGCCTCACCTCGGGGACAGGAGTCAACAGGACAGCGGCAGCTGAGGGGATGTCCGCGTTTGTCACATGCGCCTTAGTGTTGGGTGGCCAAAGGGCCATCATGGAGCCAGGCCAGGTCCGGATAGGTGGGGCAGGGCCCTGGGAGGCCGCCTGGTAACCAGTTACCACACAGATATCATTTTCCCAGGGGTGCTGGTGTGGGAAGCCGAGGGGAAGGTTCCTGCAGGGGGTCACCAGCGGGCAGAGAGAGGGACCCAGTCTGGGCACTGGAGACAAGCACAGGGGTGAAGGTGCTTTTCCTCCACACGCCTGAGCCAGGTTCGATCCCCAGCCCCCTCTATGGTCCCCTGAGCCCCACCAGGAGTCATTGCTGAGCACAGAGCCAGGAATAAACCCAGAGCACTGCCACTTGTGGCCCCAAAACCAAAATATATAAATCAAAGAAGAAAAGCCCCAGTCTAGGCCAGAACCCACCTCTAACCTTATTCTACCTTAACTTCTCTTTTATTTTATTTTATTTGTATTTTGGGTCACACCTGGCGATGTTCAGGGGTTACTCCTGGATCATGCACTCAGGAATTACTCCTGACGGTGCTTAGGGGACCCTATGGGATGCCGGGGATCGAACCCAAGTCAACCGCATGTCAGGCAAACCCCCTCCCTGCTATTCTATCACTCTGGCCCCTTAACTACCCTTTTAAAGACCCTGAAGTCACAGTCGAGGTTCAGCCTGCAGTCCAAGTTTGGGGGTGGGGGTGGGGGCACAACTTGGCCCCTGACAGATGCAGAGGAGGAGCAGGCATCTGTGGGTGTGGGCGGGAGGGCGGGCAGTGACCGGAAGCAGCAGCCCCCCCACCTCCGCAGTCAGGCGGAACCCCCGAGTGCAGGGACCAGGCAGCAGGGTATGTCGGGAGAGGGACGGGCAGTGGAGGGTGACAAGGGCCACACCCTGAAATCCAGGCTGAAGGTGGGGAGGGGTAGGTCTGGGGTTTTTGGGGGGCAATGGGGAGCTGAGGAGGGTACAGGGCCCAGAAGCACTGGCACCAGGCAGGGAAGGGGGGGGGGCACTGGGGTATGGGAAGGTTTGCAGTCAGTGGGCAGAGCAGGCCCAGATCCAGGGAGTGGCCTCCGGATCAGGGGTGGACTCTTCCCCGGCTACTCCCCTTCGCCTTCCTTCCTTCCACATCTCTTGGGGTCCTCAGCCTCTCCCTTTCGCACCCCTGGAGCCCAGAAGCAAGTGCTGCACCCCCCACCCCACTTGCACCCTAAGAGTACTGGGTGCAGGGTTCTGTCTGCCCGTCAGCATTGCAGTGAAGACACGTCCTTAGAGTAAAAGTTCAAATGCCTTTCACGCGGCCGACCCTGGTTGGATTCCCAGCATCCCATGTGGTCCCCTGAGCACTGCCAGGGGTAATTCCTGAGTGCAGAACCAGGAGTAACCCCTGTACATCTCCGGGTGTGACTCCCCCCGCGCAAAGTTCATGGTGTCAGCGCACAGCTGCATGGATTTTGACATCCGTGCAGACTCAGGGGAAACCATCAAACGGATCTAGAACCGGAATGGCCAAGACCCCTCCCCCCACCACACACACACACACACACACACACACACACACACACACACGCACCAGACTTCCCAGACCCCGCCCATCCTCATCCTCATTGTCCCGTGGGTTGGGCAGTGCGCTCAGGCTGGCCTGGCCTGTGTCACGCTCACACTTGGGCTACACCCGTGCGGCGCTCAGGCCGGATCCTGGCCCCCATATGCTCGGCCTCCGAGATGTCCCTCCAGCTCTCCTGGGCTCCTCCTTCTGTGTTGTCCTGGTTTCGGGGCCACACCTGACTGCTGCGGGGCTCTGGGGTTGCTCCTGGCCGTGCTCCCACCGAGCACCCTGCACCCAGGACGGCCTTCTGCCGGCCCGGCCCTGCTGTCTCAGCCCGTGGAGCCGTCTCTCCGGCAGGTGTCCTCGGGCCCTGCTATTGGGACTCCACTTGGAGCAAGGGGGTGGAACCACCCACCCCACGCTGCCTCTTGCCTACCCTGTTGGGTGACTCCCAACCCCCGCCGGGGCCCACCAGGGTGAACACTGGCTCCAGAGTGGGGCTCCATGTTACACAATCCCCCATTGCAAAATGTCTCCCCTTCAGCCCCACGCTGGTCACCAGCTCTCACTCCCACGGGCCTTCTCAGATGTCTTGGCATGCAGCACCCCTGAGAGGGGGGAGCAGGGCTGGGGGGGCTCCAACGGGCTTCCAAGAGGGAAGGGGGCCGGGGAGGCAGAGCTGAGTTCAGGGTCCAGTGAAGTATAGGGGGACCTATCTGCATGGGAGTGGGAAGTGGGGGCAGGGGGGCAGGCTCAGAGGAGACAGGGAGGGCGCGGGGTGACCTCAGAGGGGACAGGGAGGGCGCGGGGTGACCATGGAGAGGGGGTGAAGTCACCCCCAAGGTCATTAAGGGGTTTGGTCAGGTCATTGTATTTCCCTCAACGTTCCCTGGGTCTCCAGGGTTCAAGTGTGCAGCTGTGGGCTGTGGGGGCAGCGGGGGTCCGGCCAGGGCTGTGGGCCAGCCACCGGGGTCGAGGTGAAGGGGGGTGGTCGAGCTCAGAGCAGGGGCCCTGGGCTAAGGCGCCTGAGGAAAGCCAGGGCTGGGAGCGAGCGGGCCGGGCCCGCGGGGGCTGGATCACAGCGAGTGCTCCCGTGACGAACCCCTCTGGAGTGCCGCAGCCCATCCCCTCCAGGCCCACTCGGGGTGGAAAATGTGCCTCCCCGAAACCTGTGCCCCGCGCCCAGCGCCTCGGTTTCTACCACCGCCCTGCGCCGGGGGCGTGGGGGCCCGCATGTACTGAGCCATATTTTGGGAGTTGAAGGGGCAGGACATGAGACACACAGAGGTTGCAAGGGGGCTGGAGGGCCGGGGACAGGCTGGGGTGTCCCTCCCCAGCAGTGAAGGGAGGGAGGGAGGGACGGTGAGTCCTGTTCTCTCCTCCCTCACCCCACTTCCACCCACTCTGTCCCCAGAAATAAGAATGTCTAAGCCCTTGGAGGCCGAGAAGCAAGGCCTGGACTCACCGTCAGAGCACACAGGTAGCTGGGGCGCAGGGACCGGGGGCAGGGGGGAGTGGGGAGTGGGGTAGGGGTTCAGAGGGACAGGTGCAGGGGGCAGGGAGTCAGGGGGAAAGTTGTGAGGGCCAGGGGTGCAGGGCACAGTGGTGCAGGGGGCGGGCGGGATGAGGGGCCCGGGCCGTGGCTGACTCCTTCCCTTCTCCTTACAGATCCCGAGCAAAATGGACCAGACACTAACCATCAGGTCAGGCTGGGAGGGTGGGGGTGAGGGGCGCAGGGAAGTGGGGGGCAGGGTGTCAGGAGTGGCTTCCCCTCACTGCCCTAGCCTCACCCCACTTTGCTCTTTGCAGAACCCCCAGAATAAGACCGCCCCGTTCTCTGTGTCCCCGACTGGCCCCAGCACCAAGGTAAGCCCCCACCCCCCACCGTCCACACAGCTGGGGTTGGGGGGGTTGTGGGGCCCCAGGCCTGAGGGCCACACTGCACCGCCAACCGAGGCCTGAGGCCCCTCCCACCCCAGTCTGTGACTCACCCCGCTCCTTCCCCTTCCCTGGGGGGTAGGGGTGGCCAGGGAAATCCCCCCCAGAGCCCCAGGGTGCTGAACAACAGGAAGCTGGGGTCCGCCCCCATCCCAACTTCCCTGACCCAAAGACGGGGCCGGACCCCCAGCCCCTCTAACATACAGACCCAGGGGCCATCCCAGGAAACCAGGGTGAAGGAGGCGAGGCGGATGGGGTGGCAGGTGTGAAAAGGAGGGTGCTGCTCCCCAGGGCTCCAGGGCTCCAGTTCTTTCCAGCCGGCTCCTATCAGAGGTCTGGGGGAGGGGGGTGCTGCACCTGCCCTGGGGTCCTCGGCCGACCCCCTCCTGCTCTGGGCTTCTCAGTTTTCTCTTCAACAAGGGGGCGCTCTGGGTTCCAGTTCATGACCTAAGGGGTGGGAGTGATAGTGTAGCTGGGAAGACGCTTGCCCTGCAAGCAAGTCGGGTTCCATCCCTGGCACCCCAGACGGTCCCGCAGCACCTCCAGGAGTAATTCCTGCGTGCAGAGCCAGGAGTGACCCCTGAGTACCGCCAGGTGTGAACCCCCCCAAAAAAAAACCCAAATAAAAAGTACGAAATAACTTACCACCCAAGGTGTCCTATCCTGCCCAAGTGCCCAGGAGAGGGGGCAGTGTGCTGACCACCTACCTCTGACCTCTGCTCTCCAGTCCCATGTGCACCTGTGCGCGCGCACACACACACACAAACACACGCACACACACTTACACTCTCACAGCAGGATCTTGAAGCTTCTCCTCCCCCAGTGACCTTGCAGGGGGTCCAGGAATGAGAGGCTCATGACTGTTCTCCCCTAAAGCCCAGCCCCTGACTTGGGGTGTCTGTCCGCGCTTGGGGTGCTTGATCTCCCATCTCACCACCTCTCCGACGCGGGGTCCCCACTCTGCTCTGCTCCCCACCCTGACAGCCACTCACAGGAGAACCTCGTTCCCTGGCCCATTTTCCAGACTCTGCTGCTGTGGGAATTGGGGGGTAGCCACACCGGCAGGGCCTGACTCAGATCCCCCCGTCAGGTACCTCACATTTCCAACAGCTGAAATCAGCTTTTTTTTTTTTTAAATGGAAACTTCACGAATGGAAAAGAAGACTCATCTGACATGGAAATGAAAGATCATTAATGTGCCCCCAGGCCTTGCTGAGAGCCAGACCCTGGGCGGGTGCTGCCCTCTGGGTTCTGGGGGGCCCAGCTGGGCAGGGATGGAGCTAGGGCCCCCCAAGAGCTGAGAAGAGTAGTCGGGCACGCTCCCTGGCCTGGATGCCGGTCCCCACTTTTCCCAAACCCCCCCCAACTGTGGGTCCTGGGGGCGGGCCCGTGGGTTGCCAACACGTTCACAGGGCCCTACACCTCCCGTCACTCTGCTCCACGCCGGCTGCATGTTGCACCTGGCACCCCTGAAACTGATCTTCAGGGCCAGGCCTTTCCAGTCAGACACCGCCCCACGCCCCCGAGTCGGTTCCACATGCCACACCCTGCCACGCTGGGCGGCTGGCACAGCCCAGCATTCCCCCCAGCCCCGTGCAGCTCCCTCACCCGTACCCATCAGACTTGTTTGTTTTGAGGCCCAACCCCGGCTGTGCTTAGGGTTTGCTCTTGGCTCTGTGCTCAGTGCTCGGGGGGCCATGTGTGGTCCCAGGGAGCAAAACTGGGTTGGCCACGTATAAGACTTTAACCCCTGTGCTGTGTTTTCCACCCCCAGACTTCTTTTTGACATTTTGGGAGGTCACGCCCGGCAGCACTGGGGGGCCAGCCCTGATCTCACCCCTGTGATTATCCCTTTGGGCTCCTCCCCAGCCCCCAGCAGACTTTTCAGGGGACTCACCAGAGGGACCGAGGGTTAGTCCCACCTGGGTCTGACGTGAGATGCCCCCACAGCCACACAGGGACTGGGAGGTCGAGCCCAGCAACACCAGGCCTCATTCGGCCTGCAGAGGAGTTGTGCCCTCACCCCCACCCCCAATCACGACCAGGTTCTGACACAGTCACACGGGGGAGTAGCACCGGGAGCACCCTAGCATGCCTTCCCTGCCACGCCTCCCCCCCCCCAACGCACCTTGTACACGGTTTCCCTGTCCATACCTCCCTCCTCCACACCTCCCCATCCACAATTCCCCTCGTCCACACCCCTCCCTCCACAACCCCTGTCCATGTCTCCCCACGTCCACACCCCCTCCCTATACTCCCTGCCCAACGCTCCCCGTCCACGCTTCCCCTCATTCACACTCCCCTCCAGGATACCTCCTCTATACCTCCCTTCCCCATACCCATCAGACTTGTTTGATGGCCCATTTGTGGACCCCCGTCCACACCTTCCCCTGTCCACACCTCCCCCCTCCACACCTTCATTTGTCCACATCTCCCTGTCCACACCTGCACCGCCTTTCCCTTCCTGCATCTACCAGTTTCCTTTTGCCTTTTCCTTTGTAGCCTGTCACTATCACTGTCACTGTCCTCCCGTTGTTCATCGATTTGCTCAAGCAGGCCCAGTAACGTCTCCATTTTGAGACTTGTTACTGTGTTTGGTGGGCGAGACACTCTCGGTAGCTTGCCGGGCTCTCTGAGAGGGGCGGAGGAATCGAACAGGGCTCAGCCGGGCTGGCTGCGTGCAAGGCAAACGCCCTACTGCTGTGTTTTTGTTTGCTTGTTTTGTTTGGGGACCCACTTCAGCCGTGGCTGGGGACCCCTGTCGGCCCAGTGCTGGGGGAGTCGTCCCCAGGGGTTGCTCACAGCTCTGTGGAGCTGTTCTCCCTGGCACGGCCTGGGCCCCCAGACCCCCAGGCTGTCTCTGAGGCTCAGATACTTGGTCGATTCTTGCATGGTGCCTGGGATGGAACCTGGGGTCTCTCGCAGCCCCTGGGCAGTGATGTGTTTCTGAGCAATATTCCAAGAGCAGGTCAGTGAGAGGGTCCCGGGCTTCGGGTGCTTGCCTTGCATGTGGCCGACCCCAGTTTGAATCCCCAACCCCTCATACAGTCCTTTGAGCACTGCCAGGGGTCACTGCTAAGCACAGAGCCAGGAGCAGGCCCTGAGCAGCACCGGGTGTAGCCCCTCCCACCCCACCCCCCAATAATGTGCCCTTCCACTGATCGAGTCAGAGCAGAAGCAGACGGAGCTGTGGGACCCAGAACTCCTCAGAGGACGTGCTGGGCCACCCCCCCACAGGATGAAGTACCCCAAAGGTGGCCTCCTCATGGGAGGGCAGATGCAGTGGTGTGCCCTCCCACCTGCCCGCCAGGGAAGGCCCCCTCCCTTCCCCATCCTCCCCCCCTGCACCCACCCCAGACTGCTGGTGCCAGCCACCTGCCCTCTCTTTGGCTCACAGGTGGGCATTCTCTCTGGCCTCCACCTAACATTCTGGGGTCCTGGACCCTGCCTCTCTCCCCCACAGATCAAGGCTGAAGACCCCAGTGGCGACTCGGCCCCCGCTGCGCCCCCGCCGCCTCCTCCAGCTCAGCCGCATCTGCCCCAGGCCCAGCTCATGTTGACGAGCAGCCAGCTAGCTGGGGTGAGTGCCCAGGACTGCTGTGGGGGTCCCCTGCAGGGCCCCTCGCAGGCACCCACCTCTGCCCGCGGTCCCTGCACTAACCCTGCGGCCTCCGCGCCTTCTCCACCCATCACCCCCCGCCGCTGCCGGCCACCCCTGCACTAACCCTGCGCCTCTGCACCTTCTCTGCCCCCTGCCCCCCACCGCTGCCCGCAGCTCACGGCGCTGATGCCCGCCCAGCAGCAGCTCCTTCTGCAGCAAGCCCAGGCCCAGCTCCTGGCCGCCGCCGTGCAGCAGTCCACGGCCGCCGCTGCCGCCGCCGCCGCCTCCTCCTCCTCCTCTTCCTCCTCCTCTTCCTCCTCCTCTGCCTCCTCTTCTGCCTCGCAGCCTCCCACATCCTCGGGGGGAGGCGACCTGCCACCACCGCAGCCTGCCAGCCAGCCCCCCGGGACCCCCCAGCTCACCCTGTCCCAGCCCATCCAGCTCACAGCACAGGTAAGGGCCTTGGGGGCCACGCTCTGGCCAGCAGGGGCCATGGGGGCAGGGCTGGGGGACAGAGGGCATCATCGTTCTCCCTGCCAGCCACACACCAGGTGGTTCCATCGGCCTCAGGAGTCTCTGAGGGGCCCAAGAGATGCTTCATCCTTGCATCTCACCAGCCCTCCACCCATTCCCATCACCACCTGGGGTCCCCCAAGCACTCTGAGGGGCCGCTTCTGAGCACAGCCGGGAGTAGCCCCGGAGCACTGCTGGGTGAGATCCAACCCCACATGGAGAGGGAGCACAGGGGTTCAGGTGTTTACTTGCATCCCGCCTACCCCAGTTCCATTTGCAGTACCCAGTATGTTTCCCTGAACACTGCCAGGCATGATCCCTGAGCACCACTGAGTGTGGTCCCCAAAACAGATAATAATGATGATGATGATGATGATGATGATGATGATGATGGTGATGATGGTGATGATGGTGATGGTAATGATGGTGATGATGATGATGATGATGATGGTGATGATGATGATGGTGATGATGATGATGGTGATGATGATGATGATGATAGAGATGGTACAGGACTTAAGGCACATGCCTTGCACACATCTGACCTGCGTTCAATATCTGGCATCTGATATGGTCCCCAGAGCACCACCAGGAGTGATCCCTGAGCACCTCCAGGTGTGGCCCAAATACAAACCAAAGTGACTTGATTCCCCTGCTAGTAAGGACTCCCCTGGTACTAGGGGCTCAAAGGGCCACTTTGCACTGGGCCACTTTGCAGAGACCTTCTTCCCAAAGTAGGGCTGTTCTCAGGGATTCTTAAGTATCTTTTGGGGCATCCAGTCAGATCTGTGAACTGAGGTAGACAGTGTGGAGAGCCCAGCAGGAAGGGCTGCTGTCCCCTGCGACCCTCCCCTCCTCGTCCCACCACCAAGGCCACACCTGGGCTGGAGCCGGGCAACCTGAGCACGGTCTTGAGGTGTCCCCGTTGCCCCCTGCAGGGACCCCATGGAAGCCTCTGCACCCTTACCCCCCACCCAACACACAGAGTGACTCCCAGACCGCCCCAGCCCCCTCCAAGGTGCCAGGGAGCTCTCTAGTTCCTGTCTGTTCCCCAGACAGTCCCTCCTCCAGGAAGATGCCCACCCTGGGACCTTCCTTTTATTTAGTTTTGGTTTTGATATTCCTTTGTCTCTGGGGCCATACCAAGTGGTGCTCAGGATTCTGTACTCAGAGATCACTCCTGGTGGACTCGAGGGATTCAATGAGATGCTGGGGGTCGAACCTGTATGTGCTGCAGGAACCAGCTCCTCCACCCCGAGCTTTTCTTATTATTTGTGTGTGTGTTGTGTTGGGAAGGGCCAGCGCGATAGCACATTGGGTAGGGTGTTTGCCTTGCAAGCGGCCAACATGGCCGACCCGAGCTTGATTCCTCCGCCCCTCTCGGAGAGCCCAGCAAGCTACCGAGAGTATCTCGCCCTGCACGGCAGAGCCTGGCAAGCTCCCCGTGACGTATTCGATATGCCAAACACAGTAACAAGTCTCACGATGGAGACGTTTCTGGGCCCGCTTGAGCAAATCAATGAACAACGGGAGGATAGTGACAGTGACAGTGTAGTGTTGGGAAGGGCCAGAGCAATAGCACAGTGGGTAGGGCGTTTGCCTTGCATGCGGCCAACCCAGGGGCAATTCCTCCGCCCCTCTCAGAGAGCCCGGCAAGCTACCAAGAGTATTTTGCCCGCATGGCAGAGCCTGGCAAGCTCCCTGTACTGTATTCGATATGCCAAAAACGATAACAACAAGTCTCACAATGGAGACATTACTGGTGCCTGCTCCCAGAAAATCGGTGAACAACAGGAGGACAGTGCCATAGTGTTGGGAATGGACGTCACTGGGGACAGGAGGTCGGAACAAGTGTCCGTGAGAGCGCCGCTTGTGAGCCAAGGCCTGAATGGGCAGAGGGAGCACCAGGAAGGCAGAGGGCAAAGGCGGGATGTGACTTGTGAGTTCTGGGCTCAGCGGAAGTTGGTTTGGGGGACTGGGACTGCAGGCAGGCCAGCTTTGAGAGCCAGGCAGAGGAGTTGGGGTGAGTGCTAAGGACGGGGGCAGCAGCAATGGGCCCCAACAGGTGAATGGCCTGAACCGCTAACCCATCACAGGGGCTGCCAAGTGCCTTGGAGAGAAGGAACTTCCGGGAAGGGGACAGGCCTTGCGGGCATCTGGAGGAGCCTCCAAGGCTGTTCTGTGAGAGTCCGAGAGGTCAAGAAGGACCCCTAGATCTGCTGTGAGCAGCTGAGTTCCAAGGTGGCTGGGGAGCAGGGGGAGGGCAGGGTTTGGGGAGCTGTCAGCGGGAACTAGGTGTTGTGAGTTGTCAGAAGAAGCAGAGAGCATGAAATCCAACAGGGTCCCCAGCGCTCCTGGGGGGAGGCGCAACTGTGGAGGTGCCCTGAGGGGGGTTCCCTGAGGCTCATGCCAGAGGAGTGTGAGGTGATGTCATGACTCAGCCCTGTGAAGAATGACACACTTTTTTAAAAATTTTCTTTTCTTTTATTGGGGGGGGGGGGGTGTAGCACTGTCCTGTTGCAATAGCACAGTGGGTAGGGCATTTGCCTTGCACACAGTCGGTCGGCCTGGTTTCAACTCCTCCATTCCTCTAGGAGAGCCCAGAAAACTACAGAGAGTATCTTGCTTGCACAGCAGAGCCTGGCAAGCTCCCCGTGGCATATTCGATATGCCAAACACAGTAACAACATGTCTCACAATGGAGACGTTACTGGTGCCCTCTCGAGCAAATCCATGAACAGTGGGAGGATAGTGCTACAGGACAGTGCTACAGTGGAGGGGGAGAGATGGGCTTTTGGCCCACACCTTGCAGTGCTCAGGGGCTTTTCCTGGCTCTGTGCTCAGGAGCGACCCCTGGCGGATGGTCAGGGGAGCCTGTGCAGTGCTGGGGATTTCTTTTGTTATTTTGTTTCTCTGGGGCCAAACCTGTTGGTGTTACTCCTGGCTAGGCTCAGGGATCACGCCTGGCGGTGCTTGAGGGACCCTTTGGGATGCTGGGGATAGAACCCAAGTCAGGAAGTGTGCAAGGCAAACGCCCTCCCTGCTGTGCTGTCGCTCAGGCCCCAGTGCTAGGGATGTGAATCCGGGATCCCTGTGTGCAAGGCAAGCGCCTTAACCTCTGTGCTCTCCTCAGCCCGTGTCCTGGCTTTAATTCCGTCCATCCATCCATCCATCCCAGCACAGTCCACTTCCCTCCTGACTCCCCTCCAGCCTGTCCCTGACTAAGAAGGTCCAGGAACCCCTTCTAACTAGTCTCGTCACCTCTTCACAGTGGCCAGTCACTGGGCACATCACCTGGGACAGGGGGGTGGGGTGGGGCTGGGACTCAGCGGGGCTGCCCTGGGCTCTGAGGGGCCCATGCAGGTTACCTCGAGTTGATAGCCGCGGCTTTCTACCCACGAGCCGAAAGGTCCACCCCAGCCCACGGTTGTGCGTGTCTAATTGTGCAAATCTCGCAGTTCGCTCTTTTCGCCTCTCAGTCTGTGGTCAAGATTGCAGCTGTGGGGATCCCTTTGGTTCGCATCCCCGGGACCCTGGCTGGCCGGAGGGGGAGGTCAGAGGCCGGGGTGAGCCAGAGCGCCGCCTGCCCCCCTGGGTATTGCGCCCGCGCACTCATCCTCAGGGCTCCGACTTCTATGCGCCTCGCACGGCCCCCAGTGGCTTCACACCCGGCAAGGTGGAGCGATGGCGGCTCCTAGCGGCGGAGCTGGGCCGGCGCCGGCCATTCCCTCGTGCTGGCTTCAGTCGGCTCGGTTTCGAATCCTGTGCCAGGCAGTCCTCTACAGGGGTTGTGCGGCAGGGAAGGAGAAACTGTGTCCTCTTGGAGGTACCCCTCACCCCCAGGAAACCAATTATCCCTGGGAACGGCGATTGAGAAGCCCTAGTTCCTACTTAGAGTGATTTTTGAGGGGCCCCATCTGAGGAGAGGCAGTCACGTGAAGATGGAGAATGGTGGTGCTCAAGGATCTCTCCTGATGGGGCTCAGGGGACCACATGTCCAACCTGGGACTAGAACGGGGATCCACAGCATGCAGGGCAAGTACCTTACCAACTGTACTATCTCTCTGGCCCCTGATTTGCTTTCATCAAAAAATATAATTTGTGGGGCTGGAGGGATCCGATGTTCGGTAGGGCTCTTGCCCTGCACGTAGCCAACCTGGGTTCAATCCCCAGCACCCTTTATGGCACACTGAGCCCCGCCAGGAGTGATTCCTGAGCGCAGAGCCAGGGATAAGTCTTGAGCATTGCCAGATGTGACCCAAAAAGTGAAATTAAAAAAAAGAAAATCTCTTTTGTTCCATGAGACTAAGATGTCAGTTATTCCATCAAGGAAGAAAAGGTGCGGCAGGAGTTCTCCTGGGGGGCCTAGGTTTAAGCTGGGGTTGGGCGACCCCTCAGGGTGGGAGGAGATGTCAGAGCTCCGTCCCTCACTGTCCCACATCAGACTGCTCTGTGGGGCACCCCAGGGGCGCAGGGTGCAGAGTGTGACCTAGGCTGAGACTCCCGCCATCACACTTCCTGCTTGCCCTCCTCCCACAGGACATACAGCAGCTACTCCAGCTCCAGCAGCTGGTTCTCGTGCCAGGCCACCACCTCCAGCCACCCGCTCAGTTCCTGCTGCCACAGGCCCAGCAGAGCCAGCCAGGTACGACCCGCAGCCCCCTGCCTCCCCGCGCCTGCCCCGCGACCCTCTATCCCGCTCACCCCTCTGTCGCCCTTGTCTCCCCAGGCCTGCTACCGACGCCAAATTTATTCCAGCTACCTCAGCAAACCCAGGGAGCTCTGCTGACCTCCCAGCCCCGGGCCGGGCTGCCCACACAGGTGAGTTCCCACTCAGACCAGCAGCTGCCCAGAAGTAGGGGTGGGAGCTGGGAGGAAGCCGGGATGGATTTCTTCTTCCTGTGTGGCCTAGCCCACCTCCACAGGGGGGCAGTGCAGACATGACCATGGGACCACCTCTGCCACTGTGTCTGGAGCCACAGCACCACTTGGTCAGCTGCATCCTCTGAGACAAAAGGGGCTCCCCAGACCGGCAGCTCCTGGCCCTTCCCAGCACTCGGACTCATACGAGATTTGGTTTTGTTCTCCATGGCCCCTAAGAGCACAGGCGTGGGGATGGAGCGATAGTACAGCAGGTAGAGTGTTTGCTTTGCACAAGGTTGACCCGGGTTCGATTCCCAGCATCCCATATGGTCCCCCAAGCACTGCCAGAAGTAACTCTTGAGTGCAAAGCCAGGAGTAACCCCTGTGCATCGCTGGGTGTGACCCAAAAAGCAAATATAAAATAAAATAAAAATTAAAAAATACAAGCACAGGTGCACACACCCAGGAGGTTTCAGGGCCTTCTGCTTGCCTTGCATGCAGCCAACCTAGGTTCGATACCTGGCATCCCATGTGGTCCCCAAGCACTGCCAGGAGTGATTCCTGAGTGCAGAGCCAGGAGTAACCCCTGTGCATTGCTGGGTGTGACCCAAAAAGCAAATATAAAATAAAATATAAATAAAAAATTAAAAGCACAGGTGCACACACCCAGGAGGCTTCAGGGCCTTCCACTTGCCTTGCACGCAGCCAACCTAGGTTCAATACCTGGCATCCCATGTGGTCCCCCAAGCACTGCCAGAAGTGATTCCTGAGTGCAGAGCCAGGAGTAAACCTGAGGACTGACAAGTGCTCCCTGCTCCACCTCCCCCCCCAAAAAAAATGACAGAAATTCCCAGAAGGTGCCAGATCCCCAACTTCTCTGGACAAACTGGAAGCTCTGGCCGGGGGCTCTGCTGCCATTTAGTGCCAACTCAGTGTCCTCCTGTCCACTACCCTCAGCTACCCTCCCCATTTGCTGCTCGGCTTCTTCTGTTTTTTTCTTTTTGGGGTCATACCCGGTGATACACAGGGGTTACTCCTGGCTCAAGCACACAGGAATTACTCCTGCCGTGGCTCGGTGGACCATATGGGATGCTGGGAATTGAACCCGGGTCGGCCGCTTACAAGGCAAACGCCCCCCCCCACCATGCTATTGCTCCAGCCCCTGCTGCTCGACTTCTTAACTTTACTCAGAATCTCTCATGATCCTTTACGGATTTCCAAGTTCCCTCCTACCCATATTTTAACCATCCCTTAAAAAAAAATGCAGAAACTCTTTCAGAAAGGCTGGGCTGTTAGGGACTAACATGGGGCTTAGCTGTGCTCTGAAATTCTAAAATCTGGAGTGCTCAGGAATTCAAGCTTTTCTTGTAATGTGGGCACCAGGCTGTGAGGCAACTCAGGGCAAGATTCTCTTTACACCCTGGGTGATATCTGTGCTTTACTGAGACCTGTGGATGTGTCCATTTATGGGGTGATGCCTTGACCCAGAGGGAGATCATCTTGCCTATGATATATGCTCCAGTCTGGGTAGTCTTCCTAAATCTGAAAAATATCTGAATCCCAAAATGTGTCCAGCCCCTGGTATTTGGGTACTAGATCAAGAATTTGTAAGTCCCAATACCTGCACCCACCACCTTCTTCAAAATGTTTAGGTTTTTTGCTTGCTTATATTTGTTGGATTTTTTTTTTTGTTTAGTTTGATTTTGGGGTCACACCCAGGGGTGCTCAGGGCTGACTCCTGGCTCTGGGCTCAGGATCACTCCGAAGGCTTGGGGTGGGGGTTTGGGGTGCCAGGGATCGAACCAAAGCCAGCTATGTGCAAGGCAAGTGCCCTCTCCACTGTACTATTGCTCCAGCCCCAAAACCTTTTTAGTTTTAGGGAAGTAAGGTATTTCTGGGAGAACACTGGCTTCTTTGCAAAAACCTCCCCCAAGTCCCCCTATTTCTGCTGATTACCCTACCTATTAAAAATGCTCACCTGAGGGACTGGAGCGATAGTACAGCGGGTAGGGCATTTGCCTTGCACGCAGCTGACCCGGATTCGATTCCCAGCATCCTGTATGGTCCCCGGAGCACCGCCAGAAGTAATTCCTGAGTGCAGAACCAGGAGCACCCCTGTGCATCTCTGGGTGTGATCAAAAAAAAAAAAAAGAAAAGAAAAAATGCCCACCTGATTACCCTACCTATTAAAAAAAAATGACTGGGGCCAGAGCTATAGTACAGCAGTAGAGCGTTTGCCTTGCATGTGGCCGACCTGGGTTCGATCCTCGGCATACCATATGGTCACCCAAGCACCAGGATTAATTCCTGAGTTCAGAGCCAGGAGTGACCCCTGAGTATTGCTGGGTGTGACCCACCCCCCCAAAATATGTCTGGGCCTAGAGAGAGAGTAGAGTAGGTAAGGTGCTTGCCTTGCACACGACCAACCTGTGTTTGATCCCTGACACCACAAAGGGTCTCACAAACCCTGTCAGAAGTGATCCCTGAGTATCACTGGGTGACAAAAAAAAGAAAAATGAAACCAGAGCTGCTCAGGGCTTACTCCAGGCTCTGCACTCAGGGATCACTCCTGGCAGGGCTCAGAAACCACATGTGATGCCAGAGATCAAACCCAGATTGACTACATGCAAGGCGAGTGCTCTACCCACTACACGATTTCTCAGCTAACTTTTCCTCTATTTTCAGTCTACAGTTTTTGGGGGTTGCACATCTGGCACTGCGGGGGGGGGCAACTCCTCGCTCCTTCTGGTGCTTGCAGAGCACATGCTCCAGCTCCTTAGCTATTCAGTTAGGTGTCTCTCAGACCCTACATACTACACATTTTAAACCAAATTCTCCCATTCAGGCAGCTAGAGGGTCCGCGGGAGGGAGGCAGCACATTGTCACCCTGATGCGCAGTGACAGAGGGGCCTCGTGGGGCGTTCCCACTCAGCCGTGACCCGCCTTTCGCACCCGCAGCCCCCCAAATGCTTGGAGCCACCATCCCACCCCGAGGAGCCCAGCGACCTGGAGGAGCTGGAGCAATTTGCCCGCACCTTCAAGCAACGCCGCATCAAACTGGGCTTCACGCAGGTCATTGGCGGCTCCCTGGGCCCTGGGCGCTGGGCGTGGCGAATGGGGCGTGGCCTCTCATGGGCGGGGCGGGACCAGCTGGTGGGCGGGGCTAGTCCCCAACCCTGACAGCTGTCCCATTCCGGCCCACGGATCCAGGGTGACGTGGGCCTGGCCATGGGCAAGCTCTATGGCAACGACTTCAGCCAGACCACCATCTCCCGCTTCGAGGCCCTCAACCTGAGCTTCAAGAACATGTGCAAACTCAAGCCCCTCCTGGAGAAGTGGCTCAACGATGCAGGTGGGACTGGGCCGGGTGGGCGGGGAGCAGGTGCGGGGTGGGGGGGAGGCAGGTGGGCCCAATAGACGGGGGTAAGGGGCCAGGGGCGGGGGGGGGGGGGCGAGGCGCCCGCTCACGCCAGTCTGCCTCCTCCCGCCCACAGAGACGATGTCTGTGGACTCAAGCCTGCCCAGCCCCAACCAGCTTAGCAGCCCCAGCCTGGGCTTTGACGGGCTCCCCGGCCGGAGACGCAAGAAGAGGACCAGCATCGAGACAAACGTCCGCTTCGCCTTAGAGAAGAGTTTCCTAGCGGTGAGACCCCACTTCTGATGGGGCCCCCAGGGGAGACAGGGGTGCGGGAGGACCTCCGCTGAGGCGCCCTCTGCCCGCAGAACCAGAAGCCTACCTCAGAGGAGATCCTGCTGATCGCCGAGCAGCTGCACATGGAGAAGGAGGTGATCCGCGTCTGGTTCTGCAACCGGCGCCAGAAGGAGAAACGCATCAACCCCTGCAGCGCCGCCCCCATGCTGCCCAGCCCGGGGAAGCCGGCCAGCTACAGCCCCCACCTGGTACCCAGAGACCCACGGGCACCACCCCCACCCCTTGCCCCTCGGCTGTGTCTGGTGTCAGGCATAGTCTCCCTGGTTGTCTGCAGCGCTTGGAGCTGAGGCTGGGAGGGGCGCCCTGGGGACACCTGCCACAGGAGTGAAGGGACGGCTGTGGGGGTTTCTGGGTCGGGGGTGCTCTAGCACCCACTAACACAGCATAACTTAGCAGAGTTCTCACCGGATGGATGCAGGAGACAGCCCCCTCCCCCCCCACAGGCTCAGGTGCAGGCACAGACAGGGGCACCTTCACAGCAGCAGGGGGGGAGGGGCACAAGACCCCAGGGACTCTCTGTCCCTGCTGGGCTGAGGGCAGGCATAAGGGACAAGAGCAAGTTTGCCAGTCATGGTAATGGGCCAAGGGATCCAAGTGTGGGGCCAGAGAGACAGGACAGGGGTTAGTTAAGGCACTTGCCTTGCATGTGGCCAGGCCCAGTTCAATCCCTGGCACCACCTGGTCCCCTAAGCACCACCAAGGAAGGACCCCTAAGCAAAGACAGGAGTTGCTTCTGCCTACTGTCAGGTGTGGCCCCAAGCCCCCAAACTTGAGTGTTCCCAAGGGATAGAGCACAGGAAGTGCCCCCCTCCCCAGCCTGGGTGCTTGGCCATGTGAGATGCTCCAGTGAGATCTGGTGGGATTGGAATCCTGCTCTGTGTGAATGGGAGGGGGGGGGCAAAAGGGCTGGACCTCCAGTTGCATGCTCTGGAACTTAAAATGGAACTCTGGGCTGGGAAGAGCTAAGTGGAGGTGTTGAGTGATGAGGGGAGGCTGAAATTGGAGGCAAGAAAGCTGAGAAGAGGCTGCCTATGACCCCAGAAACACAGAGTGGGACACACCTTATCCTTTCCCTGTCGCTCCCCCTTACTGCCTCATAGGGTGTCTCTCAGAAACTGAGGGGTCACTCTGATTTTCTGCTCTTGTCCCCATAACTGCTCTTAAAGTGCAGGGCCCACAGCCTCTGGAGGTAAGGGGGGGTTCAGTATGGCCAAAGTGATGGCCAGGATGATGGGACCATCCGTGCTCCAATGGGATGATGCTATTTGCCGAGAACCTTAGTCGGTTGGCAGCATTGGAGAAGATGGGGGGTCACCCCGTGAAGCCTTGGGAAGCACCCAGCAGAAGCATACCCAGCCTTGTCCTAAAGTCCTCCCCCCTTTGACCTGTGGGCAGGCAGCACCATGGGGGGCTATGGGGAATGAGTGGCCTGACCTGTTCTTTTCCTCCCTCCCTAGGTCACACCCCAAGGGGGCGCCGGGACCTTGCCACTGTCCCAAGCTTCCAGCAGCCTGAGCACAACAGGTCAGGGGGTGCTGACAATGCTGGGGTGGGGTCTGGGGGTGGTCACAGCATGGGCCTTGGGTTCTCACGCAACCCCAGGCCTCAGCAGTGTTCCTCGCCCACTCCATGACTTCCTAAGAGAGAAACATACGGTGTGGGCTGGTCGACAGTGCCGGGACCAAGGTGCTGGTCCTGCATGGGCCAATCCCTGGTACCACATGGTTCCCTGAACATCACCAGGTGCAACCTTAGAGGGCCCCCAGCCACGCGGAGGTGGCCCCTAGAGATGATCCTCACCGCTGAAGGGCTGGAGCAGCTCACCCTCAGGTCCAGTTATCCAGAAACCACACGGAGGGGTCCCCGGGCCTCCTGAGCCCTGGCTCGCACACACGAACAGGTTGCTGCCAAAGGGAGATGCACTTGGTTCACAACTGTCCCCCAGAGTGCCCTCACGGCTCTGTCTCAGTCCCTAGACATGTCACAGCTACATACAGGAACAGAGATGAAGTCTGCTCACACTTTACACCCCACACCCCCTTCCTGGGGCAGGGCGTGCTGGGCAAAGGCCTCCAGAGCCCTCCTGGGGCAGAGATGGCCAAAGCTCTGGGGAAGAACTTTAAACTCCGCCCCCCTGCAGTCCTCGCCGCAGTTTCACGACGAGGATCCCTGGAGGATCAGGGATCGGGGCCGTGTCCCCAGAGCAGAGATCTGAAAAGTATGACAGAGGGGAGGTGAAGATTCTGTCCAGGGCGCGGGGTCTGAGGCTGGCTGGGCTCCGAGCCCGAGTCGCCGCGGCAGCCCCCGATCTGGCCGCTAGAAGGAGTCCCGGGGCTGGGCTTCCCCGGGCGCAGTTCCGGTCGGGGCGTGCGGGAGCGGGGCGGGTCTGTGCTGTGCGCGCCGGGCCCAGGGCTGCTGCTTTGATCGCGACCCCTCGCGCGGGGCACAGACCCGGAGACGGGGCCCGCGGCGGGGAGAGGGCGCGGCTCAGGCGTGTGTGTGTGTCTCTCTCCGCAGTTACTACCTTATCCTCAGCTGTGGGGACGCTGCACCCCAGCCGGACAGCCAGCGGGGCCGGGGGCGGGGCCGCGCCCCCGCTCAACTCCATCCCCTCCGCCACGCCTCCACCCCCGGCCACCACCAACAGCACAAACCCCAGCCCTCAAGGCAGCCACTCGGCGATCGGCTTGTCGGGCCTGAACCCCAGCACGGGGTGAGTGGGCCGCGCGCGGCTGCGGAGCGCTGACCGGCTGCGGGGGCTTCGGGGCGGGGAGCTGCCCGCGCTAACCTCTGCTTTGCCTCTTGCAGAAGCACAATGGTGGGGTTGAGCTCGGGGCTGAGCCCGGCCCTCATGAGCAACAACCCTCTGGCCACTATCCAAGGTGCGTGCCGCCTCCCGCCACCACTCCCCGCCACCAGCCCTGCCCCCTGCCCTCAGCTGCCTCCTCCCACCCCGCCTCCCGCTCTGCCCTCCGCTCACTGCATCGCTTGCTGCCTCTTCACCCCATCTCACCTCTGGGGACGGTGTGAGGGGCGCTAACAGGGGAGGGGGTGCCGGGGGCAGCAGGGGGAGGGAGAGAGGGGGCGAGGCTGCGGTCGGAAGGTGCCCCCAGCCCCCGCCTCTCTTTCTCCCCCCGCCAGCCCTGGCCTCTGGTGGAACCCTGCCCCTTACCAGCCTTGACAGCAGCGGGAACCTGGTGCTGGGGGCGGCCGGCGCGGCCCCGGGGAGCCCCGGCTTGGTCACCTCGCCGCTCTTCCTGAACCACGCGGGGCTGCCGCTGCTCAGTGCCCCGCCGGGCGTGGGCCTGGTGTCGGCGGCCGCGGCGGCCGTGGCGGCCTCCATCTCCAGCAAGTCCCCCGGACTCTCCTCGTCCTCCTCGTCCTCCTCCTCCTCGTCGTCCTCCTCGTCCTCCTCCACGTGCAGCGAGGGGGCAGCACAGACCCCCGGAGGCCCTGAGGCCGGGTCCAAGGCCGAGTGAGGGCGCTCCCCGCCTCCCCCCTCCTCCTCTGAACCCCCCACCTCCTCGGCTCCCAGCCTGGGAAAGAGGTCGAGGAGGCCAGCATTCGGGGGACACAGAGGGTCCTCGCAGCAGGAGTGACCAGGGAGCAAAGACCAAAACCAAACCAAACCAACCAACCAAAAAGGAAAAAAAAAAAAAAAGACCAACGGAAAAGAAAACCAAAAATAATCACAGCAGAAACCAGCTGCCCCAAAGGAACCAGAGGTGAATAAAAAACAAACCAAAAACGCCCCCAAACCCCCGTCCCCACCAAACCCACCAAACCAAAAACCAGTCACGAGCCAGACCTCAGCGTGTACCCCCTCACTGCTACGACACCAAATATGAACCCCAGCCAGGCCGGGAGCCATGGCGCTGGACCTCAGTGGGGCCCAAGCTGGGGGCGCCAAGCCCCACCTTGCCTCCCCCAGAGGGAGCCTGAGAAGGAAAAAGAGAAGGGGCCAGCCTCCTTGCCCCAGGCCCCCGCCCTGGGGCCGCAAAGACAGGGCACCTGCGGCCCAGGGGCATGGGGAGGGCCGGCCACCCAGCAAAAGTTCTTTTCCGGAAGGTAAAGAGAAAGGCCCGACACCGTACACCAAATATTCCGTAGCTTCATCCAAAGGATGTACAGAATTTTTAGCGTTGTGCTCAACAGAATGTGTCCCCCCCACCCATGTCTCCCTCTGTTCCCTGGGCCCCAGCTCTCCTCCGTGGGCGGGGGGGTGCTTTAACCTCCTCCCTCCCCCAGCCCTGGGAGAGCCCTGGGGACAGCTCGTGGTCCCTGTACCTCTCCCTCCGAAGGGTGGGCTAGGCCGTCTTGCCAAGTTCTAGCTCTCACAACCCCCGCCCCCGGCCCTGCACCCCATCACCCCTTCTCTGCTCTAGAACCTCCCCCTGCGCCCAGTCCGTGGGCAGGTGGCTGGTTCCAGCAAGGGGCCGGGGGTGCTGGGCCTTTGAGTCGTCTTGTTTTCCATCCTTGTCTGTCAGTTTCCCTGAAGAAAAAAAAAAAGAAATTCATATTCCAGTGCCTATCCGTGGGATCCTTCCCGTTCTTGACATCGACCAGAAACCAAAAAGAACTCACCTCGTCTCCCCTGTCCCCCTTGCCCCGCCCCCACATGCACACACGCACGCACCCCGCGGTGGGGCTCCTTCAGGGGCGGCCCATCAGGGTCCCTGCAGCTGACGGGATCTGGACCCCCGGTCCTCATCTGAGCCCATCATGGGCCCCAGAGTCTCGACGGCACCCCGCTTCTGCCCAGCCCCGGACACATGCCTCACCACCAAGGGAGAGCCGCTGGGAGCCACTGGCCCTCCCGCCGTTGGAGAGGCCAGCTGTTCTTGAACCAAAAAAACAAAAAAAAACAAAAACAAAAAAAAACAAAAACCAAACACAAAAAACCAAACAATAAATGAAAACTAGAAAAAAAAAAGAATTTATAGAGATATATATATTTAAGGGAAAGAAGACGAGGACACCGGGTGAAGAAGGAGCCGCTCCCTATCCCGGGGGCCAGGCCTTGGTCCCCAAGCGGCCGGTCAGTCGGACAGAAGGACAGACACTTCTTTCTCTTCACAAATACCTCATGCACGTCGTGTCGTCTTCTTCGGGAAGCCGAGGGGCGGCGGGGGCAGCGCCTGGCCTGGGCCGGGGCGGATGGAAGCGGGTGGCAGGGCTGAGAGAGGTTGTCAGGGACAGGGGTGCAGAGCCCCGAACTCCCCGCTCCACCACCCCCTAAACCCCCATCAACTGAAAAAGCTTTAAAAAAAACAGGAAACAGGAAGAAAAAAAGAAAGGAATAAGAAAGCAAAAAGAATGGACGAAGGAAAAGTAGCAAACTTTTGGGTGGTTTGATTCTCCTTTGATTTCTTTTTCTGTTCTCTCCTGCCTCTTCTCTCTGCTTGCCACCCCCCCACCCCACCCCACACCCTCCCTCCTGCCTCTCTCAAGCTCCTTTCTGTGTCTCTCCTCAAACCAAAGTGTTGCTGTGAAGGACGCGAGCCATCGAAATCAGAGTTGGGCCCCCACCACAGCCGCCTGGCTAGGCAGGAGGAGGGGGGCCCAGAGTCCTGGGACAGGCAGTGCTGCCGGACCCCCAACCAAGAAGAGGCCACCCCAGGGCCCCCCAAGGCCTCCGCGTTCTCTTTAACTTCTCTCCCTTCTTGCCCCGGGAAAGGAAACTGTTGGGCGGCGCCAGGAGCAGCAGACTCCCCGAAGCAGGGGTCTGGGGGGGACCTCTCTTCAGGCAGCAGTGGAGAGGCTTCAGGTCTCCGACCCTCCTCGCCGGGACGCCAGAGATGCCAGTCACCGACTCCTGCCCTCACTGCCTCTGAGTGTGGCCACTTCTGTTTCCTGAAGAGAAATGCCTGGCAGCAGGCACCTGAATGAACCCCAGCCCCGGTGGCGGCAATGTGGGAGGGGCCAAAGGCGCCTGACCAGACAAGAAGGACTGCATTGGAGCAAAGGAATGACAACGAAAACCCCTCTGAAATGACAGGCAGCATGGAAGGCATGGTGGAGATGACTCGAACAAAAACTATGATTCTAGACCAAAAAACAAAACAAAACAAAAAAACCAAAAAAACGAAAAAAAGAAAAAAAAAAGGAAAAGCATATCCAGGACTCCCCGCTGCCCACTTCCTCCTGCTTCCTCCTTCCGCCTGCCACCTGGGACCTCTCCGCACCCTAAAACCCAGGCGGGCAGGGGGCAGAGAGGAGAGAACGAAGCAGGGGGCAGGAAGGGGGCTGATGCCCTGACAGTGGTGGAGGGACCCCCGTGCAGCCGGGGGTGGTGGGGACCCTCCCCATTCAACCCCCATAACTAGGAGAAGAAAAACAAGGATAAAAGAGAAATTCCTGGGAGGGGGCAGAAATACCAAATCCCAAGCTTTAACTACAGCTGTGAAACCAAATATTGGGAAGGGGGTGGGAGGGAGGGAGGGGCCAGTGTGCCCCAGGTCTCCCCCCGGGCCCCCTCCCCCGAGGACTCGAGATAAGGCACCAAATACCTCATAGAACTTTAATGTTAAAAAAAAAAAAAAGGAAACCAAATATCGTTGGCTGGGGGCCAGCCAGGGCAAGGGACTGGGGGGACTGGAGGGAGCCAGGGTTGGGGTGAGGGTGGGGGAATTCATGCTCCCCACCCCCCTTCACCCCTTTCTACTCCAGTCTCCCCTGTCTCGACTCCGGGAAACAAAACTATCTCATCATTTTTATTTTGTGGTCTGTACAGAGCCTGCGTCCGTGTGTCTGTGTGTGAACGAGAGAGTTGGGGGGCTGGGGAACTTTGTGTGTGGCATGGGAGCAGGGACCCCAGGTCAGGTTCTGAGCTAGGTGAGATTCTGAGGTGGGGGGGCAGGGCCCTGGGCTAAAAAGAGAGGAAGGTGAGTGGATTTGGAGAAAGGAGGTTCCTGGATTTCTCTGCTCCCCAGCCCTGACCTCCTGCTTGAGGGAGGGAGAGATAGGGTCCACCCTTGGCGTGGGCCTTTTAAGTGTGCCAAAAATCAAAAAAACAATGCCAGTAACTCAGACTCCCCTCTCTGTTCTCTTCTGGGAGGTGTGCTTGGAAGTGGGAGGGTGGGGAGGGGGGCTTAAGTGGGGGGTAGGGAGAGATGGGATACCCATTCCCCAGTAGGAGTGGGGCTAAAGGAGAAAGATGTGAACTTACCCCACGCCTTGCCCTGGGGAAGGTGGCGAGGGTCTCGAAGCCCCACACCTGGGAAGATGGGGCTGAAGGGTGATTATCACTCTTCTCCCCCACCCACATCCCAGGTGCCTCTCACTCCTGTCGGGCTGGGCCAGGGTGGGGGAACCGGGTGAGAGAGTGAGACCGACAGCAAGACTGAGACACACGGGCCCCACTGGCCTCTGGGTGGGAAAGGCAAGTGCGAGAAATAAAGGCCTCCAAGAGAAAAAAGAGAAACAAACCAAAGATTTAACCATTTAAAAAAAAAACCCACAGACAACTCCGCTACCTTTTTATACGTTGGAAAAAAAAAAAGTGAAAAAAATTTAAAAATAAAAATAAAAAAAAAACCTCCAAGCCGCAGTCCCTGCGTGCGGTTTGAACTTTGACCTCAGCAGTCTCCAAAGCAAGATGACGATGAGAAAGGCGAAAAAGAAAAAAAAATTAATAATGTATATTTTTAACTATTTGTTCTTGAGATGTTAGCTCCTTGTTCAACAAACACAAAAGAAAAAGGAGAGAAAAATCCTGAGAGGTGTTGCTGGGACGGAGACAAACTACTTACTATGTCTGTGACCCCTCCCCTCTGCCCTTCTTCCTCTCCTCCCCTCCCTCCACCCAGCTGCCCTTCCCCAGTCTGTCCCCCCAAGCCCAGGGGCTCAGTATTTATTTATATGATTGCAGGGTGACTGGGGGCCTCTCTCCAAAACTTGTAGAGGGCCTTTGGATCCTGGAGGCATGAGGAAGAGGCAGATCTGGGGAAACGCAGGGGCCAGAGGTTTGATCAGCTCTTTTCTGGCTTATTCCACTGTCGCCACCACCACCACCGCCACCACCGCCACCCAAATCTAAGGCCACACCAGGGTGAGGTGCCACCTGCCATCCTACCTTGCAAAGATCTGATTGGCTCAGCACTTCCTGGGGTGGGTGTCTTGCCTACTCACCCAAGGACCAGGCTGGAGAGTGGCTGGGAAGTGGTGGCCCAGGGAGACCGGAAGTGGTACTGGGAGACTGAGCAGGCCCTGGAGACCTGCCTTTCCTCCGTTCTCACCAAGTCAGCCCCCTTTTCAGTTCTGTCTGACCCCGGTGTTGGCAGCCCCTCCCTGCCCATCCTGTATTCCCCTTCCCTGTCTCTTCTCGTGGTAGCGGGTTAGCGTTTCAGTGTTCTTAACTCCAATCTGCTTGTTCATTGTACAATGTGCTTCTTTTAAGGCCCCATTTTTGTAACTTGAGTGTGTCATTCATCTGAACAACATCAAAAAATAAAAAATTAAAAACTGTACAGAGAGAAATGATGCCTGTTCTCCCTTGGTCTCTGTCTGGGACAGGTGGAGGGGGATTTGGAGATTGGACAGGTCCCTGTGGGAGGTTTGCTCCTGGTCAGTGACAGCTCTAAAGGCAGGTCTGAGTGATGACCTTTGCTAATTAGAAATTCAAGAATCGGAACTTGGGATGAATGAAAATGTGCTGTTTTCCCACATAGCTCACCCTTGATGCATTAGCTCGTGTACTCGTTTATACCTCCAGGAGAGTTAGCTCTTTGTGACCATGAGTATGAGAATTCAATGCAATGTACGAAGTGTTTAGCATCGACCTTCACATTGTCTTTAGTAAGTGAGAGAACTAGGTGCCTGGAAACCACTGGGCACTGCTCCATCCCTATCCCCAATGGACAAGGATCCTTATTTTTGCCACACACAGCAGTGTCCTGGCTGTGCTCAAGGATCACTCCTGGCGACGCTCAGGGGATCACATGTGAGGCTGAAGACTGAACTGCAGTCACCCACAGCAAAGATGAACACCTTAACCCCCTATATTACTTTTCTGGCCCCTATATTATCTCCTGATCCCAATAACTGGACTTTCTTCTTGCCATCAGGTATCCTGACTGTTCCATCCTCTGATCAAAGTCTGGCACAAAAGTGCTAGGACTCTGTGAATTCCATAACAAAGGCTAACTGTACAAGGGAAAGGAATGGTAAAAGGGTTTGCTAATTTAAAAAGATACAATGTCTTCCACTGCATAGTTTTAAAATACAAAAGACCTTCCAGGGGGGCTGGAGCGATAGCACAGCGGGTAGGGCGTTTGCCTTGCATGCAGCCAACATGGCCGACCCAGGTTCGATTCCCAGCATCCCATATGGTCCCCCGAGTAGCCAGGAGTAACCCCTGAGCATCGCCGGGTGTGACCCCCCCGAAAAAAAAAAGCAAGACCTTCCAGGATGAGAGGGGACAATTCAGCCCGGTGGGCACTTAGCCCTGAGCACTGTGGGCTAAGTACCTCAGGCCCAGTGTAGCTGGGGGTGGTCCCACTTTAAAAAATCAAAGGGCAAAAAAATAAAATAAAGGGCAGAGAGACAGTAAAGGTTAAGGCACTTGCCTTGGGCTGGAGCGATAGTACAGCGAGTAGAACATTTGCCTTGCACATGGCCAACCTGGGTTTGATTCCCAGCATCCCATATGGTCCCCTGAGCACAGCCAGGAGTAATTTCTGAGTGCAAAGCCAGGAGTGACCCCTGTGCACCGCCGGGTTGACCCAAAAAGCAAAAAAAAAAAAAAAAGACACTTGCCTTGCACACAGCCCACCCATGTTCAAATCCCCAGCATTGCAGCATTGCATATGGTCAAGCAGTGCCAGCCAATCATTGCTGACGTGACCCAAAAACCCAGAAACAAAACAGAAAACCAGAACACATCCCTCCAATTTTCCAATCAGCAGCGACAGGAGCAGGGAGAGATGACACACTGAGATGACACACTGAGAGTAACACCCAAAGAAAGTTCCCTCCCTGCTTTTAAGTGGTTCTGAGACCCATAGATCCTGGTTGCAAAAAGTTCCTAAATACCTATCCTGTGCTAAGCTCAGGTGTCATACCTGAGTGTCCATGACCTTCCTCTTGCCAAGGTACTGTACCCTGAGGACTATTCTGGCCCTTGATAGCAGCGTGTGCAGCTACCACAGCCAAGTGAACACAGGCCATGCAAGTCTCTATATCTGGGGCTAGGGACCAGTTCCTTTCCTCTGAACTGGCACGCCCAAACTTCCAGTCTCCTCCAGGTGCATGCGCAGAATCCAAATACAAAGTTTGAGGACTTCTCCCTGCCTTCCTCAAACACCAGCACTCAGCCAGAGTTGGATTGGTGCCATCTTACAGAATGGGTTTAGCTGAGGCACATTAGGCTGTGGGGGCTGAGGGGTGCCCTAGTTCCATTATAAACGGTTTCCCTTTTACATCTCATTTCTTCAGGTTACAAACAAGAATTCTTCCCAACAAAGATAAAAACAATCTGGCAAGGGGGTGCTTATTTTGTTCAGGGTGTAGGTTTTAGTCAATTTGAGCCAAGACTAGAACAGCAACTGAGCACTACTTAGGAGTGACATACCATCTCTCACTACTTTGTGATTTCAGATCTCTTTCACAAAAATGCTGTCATGGGGCTAGAGCAATAGCATAGTGGGTAGGGCCTTGCACGCAGCCAATCGGGTTCAATTCCCAACATCCCATATGGTCCCCTGAGCACCGCCAGGAGTAATTGCTGAGTGCAAAGCCAGGAATAACCCCTGTGCATCACTGAGTGTGACCCAAAAAGCAAAAGCAAAAAAAAAAAAATGCTATCACAAGGGGCTAGAGAGATAATAGCCAAGTACACAAGACACTCTGGACATTCAAATGGGTCAGACACCGTGACCACAAAAGTGCTGACTGATCCCAAGTCCAGGTCCTGATGGCACATCCCCATAGGTGGCTTCTGACTCTCACCACCAGTGACTCTTACGCACCTCTACCCACAGCTGGGCTCAGCCTGGGAGTACCTCCCCACAGCCAAAGATTGTGCCTGCCCATCCCACACCTTCACTGCCCTCAGGGATGGTTGAGAGAAAAAAAAAAAACAGTGAACTCTATGACAAAGAGTGAGGAAGACAAGGGTGGTGGATAGAAACGTAACCTTCTAAGTGTTCTGGTCACAAGAAAGAGCTTCAGGCTTCTCTATGGTGGGCTGTGGTGACCTCTAGTGGAAAGAGAGCAAGGTTGCTGCCATCACACAACAGAGCGAAGTAGCCCATCTCAGAAAGGGACTAGAGACTCTGGGTCCTCTTCATCTAAGCACTGCAGGGCTAATCCTGTTACCTGCCACCCCCAGTTCTTGAAGCCAGCTACACAGTCCTAAAAAGACAGAGCCAAGTAACTGGGCTCAGGGCCCCCAAATCCCAACCCACACAGAATCCCAACCCCCAGGGCCAGCAACAGCAGCACATTCATGTCCAACTTTATTGAGATCATCTTGGGGCCACCAGTGCAAACAGGTGGAAGATGGGGGAAGAAGAATCCCAGAGCACCCTCCCCCTGGAAGTCAATAAATCCAGCTCCCCCTGGAAGACAATAAATCCAGCTATCGAACTTATGAAGCAGTTAGGATGGGTGAAGGAAGGGGTGGGTGTATTTACAGAGTTGGGACGGGTTGGAGGAGGTCCTTCAGCAATAGGGTCTGGGGGTTCTTGGGGCAACAGGGTAGTCAGCCACTAATCTGGACCCCTTCAGTCTCAGCTAAGGGATAGATCTCAATGGCCTCCACCAGGGGCAAGGCCTCCACTGCAGTCTCCATCACAGCCAGGCCAACAGCCGCCTCCGCCTCAGCCAGCTGCTGCCGCACAGCTGCCTGATGCTGCTGCTGGTGGGTCTTACGGTGCTTCCAAAGGTTCGAGAAGGAGCGGTAGCTCTTGCCACAGTCTGGGCAGGAATAGGGCCGTTCCCCTGTATGAATGCGGCGATGTTCAGCCAGGCGCATGGAGATGGCAAAGGCCTTGCCACACACTTCACAGGCAAAGGGTCGCTCCCCAGTGTGCAGGCGCCGGTGGTCCTTCAGGTGTGTGCTCTGGCGGAAGGCTTTGCCACAGTCTGGGCACGGATAGGGCCGCTCGCCGGTGTGGATGCGCCGGTGGACCTGCAGTGACGTCTCTGTGCTGAAGAGCTTCTTGCACTCGCTGCACTCCAGGCCGCGACGGCGAGCAGGAGCAGCAGGGGTGGTTGTGGCAGCGGCCGGGCCTCCCAGGGCCGGAGGGGAGGCGACAGGAGAACGGGGAGCCCGTGGGGCCCGAGGCACTGGGGGCTCTTTAGCCAAGACCTCTCCAGGCCCAGCAGCTGCGTGGGCCGCCTCGTGTGCTTGCAAGCGGGCAGCGGAGCCCACTTTCTTGCCACAGGTGCCACACTCAAAGCGCCGTGGGGCCTGGGCAGCGGCAGCTGCACAACGGTGCTCACGGAGCCGCAGGGAAGACGGGAAGGCTGCCCCACAAGACGTGCAGCGGTGAGGCTGACGCCCTGCATGGGCCACGAGCTGGTGCACCTCCAGCAGCCGACGCAGCAGGAAGGAGCGGGGGCACTCGCGACACTTGTAGGGGTACTCACCCGTGTGGTGGTAGCGATGCATGAGCAGGCGGTAGGGTCGGTGGAAGCGCACACCGCACTCCTGGCAGCGATAGGGGAAGTGCTGCGCATGCACCAGGCGGTGTTGCCTCAGTGTGGAACTTTGTGTGAAAGCTTTGCCACAGTCCCCACAGCGGTAGGGCCGCTCCCCGGTGTGCGTGAGCCTGTGGCGGGCGAGGTTGGCAGGTGAGTTGAAGGGCTTGGAGCAATCAGGGCAGGGGAAGGGCCGCTCACCCGTGTGCGTGCGCAGGTGGTTCCGCACATGCGACTTCTTCTTGAACATCTTGCCACAGATGCTGCACTTGTGGCGCCGCTCCAGGCGGTGCACAAAACGTTGGTGCCGGGTCAGCTGCAGTGCTTTGCCAAATTCACGGCTGCAGAGGAGGCAGCGGTAGGTGCCAGGGGCCACTGGCTCTGTTGAGCTCTCCTCCGACACGGGGGGCTCTGGGGCCTCTAGCTCTCCTGTTTCTGCTGGGGCCGGCTCGGAGAAACCCAAGACAGGCTCCTCAGGCGGGACTGGAACCGTGGGTAGAGGAACACCCCCAGCCCCGTGGGTGCGCCGGTGATAAAGGAACTTGGTGAGGTTGACAAAGGTCTTTCCACATGGACACGAGTGCAGGGGATTCGGGGTGTGAGCTCGCCGGTGGGTCAGGAGGAGAGCCTCTGTGCCAAAGGCCAGGCCACAATCCACACAGAGGAAGTGAGACTCGCTACTGTGGTCTCCAAGGTGCTGGTCTAGACTGGAAGGGCTGGGGAAGACGCGACTGCATAGGGGACACTTAAAGACGCCCTCCCGGTGACTCCGCAGGTGCTGCTGCAGCTGGTGAGGCGAGAGAAAGAGCTGGTCACAGGCGGAGCAGAAAAGCTCCTGGGTGGCTGCCCCGCCAGCCTCTCCACTGTTGTTCCTCCGGGCCTTGCGCCCCCGGCGATCGCGACTGACGGCTTCACCATTGCGCAGCTCATAACTGTGGTCCGAGGCGGGCACGGGCTCAGGCTGAGACACGGGCACCTCTGCTGGCAGCGAGGTCAAGGTCTCTGGTTGCAGGGCTGGCTCCTCACACTCTGGGGCAGGGAAGTGGGTAGCCTGGTGCTCCAGGAAGTCAGCAGGCAGCTGGAAGAGTTGGGAGCACTCGGAGCACTTATAGAGCAGCAGCTCCACCTCAGTGACCACTTCAGTCGTGGCAGCGGCAGCAGAGGGGACAGCTGCCCCTTCTCCACCTTCTTCTGCCTTGCGGTACGAGTGCTCCACAGCCACACGGGTCTGGCCCACAGGAGGGGCCAGCACAACTGGGGACCCCAGCACCACAGGGGCAGACTTGGTGGGAGTGGCCCGGAGGTGCATCTGCCGGTGGCTCAGCCAGAGCTCCTGGCTGGCGAAGAGCGCCTTGCAGTCCACACACTCATAGTGAATGGTGCTGGAGCTCAGGGTTGGGGCCTTGGGCGGCGACTCAGCTGCCACAGCCTCCGGGGGCGCCATCATCTTCAGGTGCAGTTCCTGGTGCTCCAGGAGCTGGCTGGGCGACAGCAGCAGCTGCCCACATTCCAGGCACTGGTACTGGCTCTCCTGCACTAGCGTTTGATAGAGGCCCGTGCCAGAAGCTGTCTCTGTGGTCACGGTGACTCCAGGCTCAGCCACACCCACCAGTTCAAAGTGCTGCTGGGGCGCATGGGAGTTCTGGTGCACGAGCACCTCCTCCAGGGAGCCATAGAGCTGGTTGCACTCGGAGCAGACATAGCGGTGCTCAATGTACAAGACTGTCTCCTCTGACTCCTCGGTCATGGTGGCGGCCAGACCCTGGGCTGGGAAGGGGAGAGGGACAAACATAGCACAGCTAAGCCCCAGCCTCCTCTGGCAGTCCCAGGAACAATTCTTTGGCATATCTACCCTCCCCAACCCAGACAAAACCTGAGAGCTATTCCCCCCCTCTGTTCCCATTCTATCCTTCCCTCATAGTTCTTCCTCTCCTGAGCACACAAAAGCACCCAACACCAAACATTCCCCACACCCCTTCCCAAGGCTACCCAAGTCTCACCTCTGAATCAACTCGAATCAAACTCTACCCACCAGATCCAGGTACGTGCCCAGTCCCTCCTCTCCCAGGTCTCACAGCTGGCCCAGGCCCTGCCTATCCTGCAGGAAGCCCAGGTCCAGAATATCCTGCAGGAAGCCCAGGCCCACAGCCTCTCCTCACCAACTCACGGGGTTCCCATGGCCCAGCCCGATTCATGCCTCCTCTGCTCCCAGGCCCCATCAACAACCACCAATGCCCCTATCACTTCCGTCTGATCCCCAACCTCTCTCCTTTACACACTGCCCTGCTCCCCGACTAACGCTCTTTCTCTGGTGTTACACCATCACTTCCCCCCAATCAACTTTTCCCACGTTGGTCTATCCCAGAGGCTATAAAATTTATCTTGCCTACTGCCCTCTTTTTCTTGGGGGGATGGAGTAGGGGTGGGATGCAACACTCAGCACTTGTCCGCTCCACATTTATCTTTTTTTTTAAGCAAACAGAAAGCCCCCCTAACTGCATCCCAGTTTACTACGGCCTCCTGCCCCCATGGCCCAATCTTTTAACCCAAAACCCCCCACACCACGCTACCCCCAGTGTGCTAAGTCTTCCCAGGAACTCCCTCACCTACAACCCTTGACCCCCAGGTCCCCTCTTAACAATGAAAGAAAACTTCTTCATGCATGACACCCCCCAACCAATTCAGGGGCTCCCAGACCCTCTCCATGAATCTTTGTAAAAAGACCCCTATCACCCTAACCCACCCCGGGATCCCACAACCCTGTTTATATCAATGTCAGTCTCTCCACTGCTGTTTACAGCACCAAAAAAAGTGCTCCAGAGTACTAGGGGAACCACAAAGTGTTAAGGATAGGATCTGGGGCTCCCACATGCAAAGCCAGTGCTCACTGAGCTACTGGCCCAGCTCTGAGTCCCCATACTTTACAAAATGCTCAACTTGGCCAACCCCAACCCTTCCAAGGTACAAAGCCGCAAACTCCATCACATCAACTCAAACCTTCTTTACAGATAAATCCCTGTGCCCTAACCTTCTCCAGAGACACCCAGACTCCCCCTTTCACAATCACCCAACCTTTTCTTCTTTACAAAAAACAGACCCTCTCCGACCCTAACCCATTTGCTAGTGACCCAGACACCCCCTCATTCAACCTAAGCATCACACCTTTGCAAAAGGGCTTCAACCCTACCCTAATAACTAACCCATTCAGGGATGCTCAGCGCCCCCCCCCATCCCCAATTCCTTTGCAAAGATCCCATCCAGACCCTATCCAGGAATATCCGGGCTACCCTGCACTGCCTCTTCTACAAGGCCCTCCCAGTGCCCAGCCCCTTCAGAGATGCCCAGACCCTCTGAACCTCCGACCCGGTATCCCAGAGAGCTGCCACACCCCTCTCACCAGCCGGTGGGAGGGAGCCCCAGATCCCCAATTTCTTAGCAACCCAATTATCTCACTCTCATTCCAATACAATCCCTCCCTACCCCCCAGACACACAGACCTCACATACCCCCTCCAGACACCCCCAATTCTCACTCTCCTCCATCCTGACCCAATTCTCCGTATTCTTCCAGAAAGTTTCCTCCACCGGGGCTATTCTCGGACCCCACCCCCCCGCCCCGCGACATCTTTTTCACCTAAGGCAGCACGTCTCTACAGAGACGCGACCCCCACCCCACCCCCTACACACATCATCGGATAACGCTGAGCTCTAAACTCCCCGCCTCGGGCTAATACTCCCCAACTCTCACACTTCTCTGGCCTGGCTCATTCCAGGCAGGGCTCGATTTTCCTTTTACCTTCACTTAATTACCTCTTTTCTCACGACGCGAACCCTGCCCGGGCCTCTGGGCCCTTCAACCTCCCACAGCCCCCTTCTGCAACCCCTTCAGTCCTTAACTGTCCCCCCACGTCAGCCCGTCCCGCCCCGTGACCCCCGGGAGCCAGGACGACCCTGGGGTCCCCCGGCCGACCCCGCCCCTCCTCACTCAGCCCTTCACTCGGCCTTCGCCCCTTTGCCCACCCGCACCCCGGGCCCGGCCCCCCACGGCCCGGCCCGCCCGCCCGCGCGCCCGCCGGCCGTTGCACCGCTCCGCCCTCACCGCCCGGCGCGCGCCCCCGCTCCGGCCCACAGTGCGCAGGCGGGGCCGGCCGGAGAAGGCCTCAGGCGAAGGGTTGTCGGGGAGCCCGGCAGCCCTTCGCGCGCCCGCCCGCCCGCACTCACCCGCCTCTGCCGCCTCGCACGGCCCGGGCCCGAGCCCGGGCGGCCGCTCCCCTCGCGCGGCCACCCTAGCGCTGCGCCCTCTCTAGCTCCCGCCGTCGCCTCTTGCCTGCTCCACAGCCTCGCTCTCGCCCCCAATCGCCCTCAGCAACGCCCCGCCCACCTTCCTGCTCGGCCGCCGCGCGGACGGCCGATCGCGCCCAATCACCGCCCGTCTGGCCCAACCCGTTCGGCCAATTGGCGCCCACGTCTCCGAGACCTGGACCAATAGAACGGAGCGTCGGGAAGCGCCTCAGAAGTTCACCAATCCTCTAGCGACATTCCCGCACCGGCCGGCCCCCGAAGCGGGAAATGTCTACCCCTTAGGCTTTAGGAGGCGAGCAAGCTCCGCCCTCCTTTGGCCGACTCCGCCCCTCGGCTCGAGACGGGAGGGCGGCGCGATGGCGTCACACGGCGGAGCGAGGCTGCGGGCGCCATCTTGGGGGCGCCGGGCAATCGTGGCGCGTGGGGCCGGGGGCTAGTGGTGGAAATTGAGGCACGCGACAGCCCGGAAGCGGGGGCGAGAGACTTGAAGTGCGAGCATCACCACCCCCCTCCCCCGGAGCGGAAGGAGAAAGTGAAGCGTCAGTCTTCGCGGAGGAGCGCCTGAAGAGGGAAAAAGGGAAATGAAGGCTCCTGACTGACCCCGTTAGCGAGGGAGGACTACGGGCGGCAGGAAGGACGGGAAGAAAAGCGAGGGGCGAGAGAGAGAGAGCGCGAGAGTGGGGAGAACACTTGTCAGGACGGCGCGAGAAGAGCTGAGGAAATGGGGCAGTAGAGGGCGGAAAAGCTGTAGGACAGAAAGTTTAAGGGGAGAACCGGGAGGCGGGTGAGATGACCCAAAGGACACGCAGGATGAAAAACCTGAGGGAAATGACCCGGCTGAGGCGACCCCTCGGCTCTGCCTCCTCCCCAGGGGCCTCCGACCCTTCCCTCGTGACCCTCAGGGCCTTGGGAGCAAAGCTTCCCTGCCCTGTTGCAGATGTGCCAGAACTAGGCTCTAAGACTTGATCTTACGGGGCCCGTTTATCCCTTTCTCTCCCCCCGCCCCCCCCCCCATGAGTAAACACAGCCTGGGCATTGACCTATCTGAGTTCAGGCCCTGTTAGGGTTGCCAAGAGTAACGGAGAATGTCCGTTATCAAAACTTTATAAAGTGATGAGGGTACAATCTGGGCATGGTGACTAGACTGAACCGGTATATAGTGCATGTTGGAAAGCTGCTGAAGAGACACTGGAGAGATAGTACAGTGGGTAGGGTGCTTGCTTTGCACGCGGCCAACAATCTTCAGCATCCCATATGTCATATGTTCCCCTGAGTGCTGCAAGGACAAATTCCTGAGTGCAGAGCCAGAAGTAAACCCTGAGCCAGATGTGCCCCCTCTGAAAAAAATTAAGTTGCTGAGGAGAGTGGACCTTAGACCAGAGATTACAGAGTTAATGAACTGTCCTTGTGTGATAGATCACCAACATCTTAGGTCCCCTGACAACTTGCCAGGAGTCACTCCTGAGCACCACCAAGTGTGACCCCAACCCCTTTCACCTTTAAAAAGAGGATAGGGGGCTGGAATGATAGCACAGCTGGTAGGGCGTTTGTCTTGCATGCGGCTGACCAGGGTTTGATTTCCAGCATCCTATATGGTCCATTGAACACTGCCAGGAGTAATTCCTGAGTGCAAAGCCAGGATGCACCCTGTGCATCCCTGGGTGTCACCCAAAAAGCAAAAAATAAAAAGAGGATAGGGGCAGGAGTGATACTACAGTGGGGAAGGCATCTGCCTTGCATGAGGCCAACCCAGTTTCAATCCCCGGCATACCTATGGTCCCCCGAGCACCGCCAGGAGTAATTCCTGAGTGCAGAGCCAGGAGTAACCCCTGAACATTGCTGGGTGTGACCAAAAAAATTTTTTTAATAATAAGAGGATAGATCTTAAAGGTTCTCACTTTGCTATGGTAAGGATGGTGAGAGATACTGTGATTATTTCCCCAATGTGTTCAAATGTGGGGCTGGACACATAATACAGAGTTTACCATGCATGTGACTGGGTCCACTTCAATTCCTAACACCCAGTATGGTCCCCCATAGGCAGCACCAAAAGTAATCCCTGAAGGGCTGGTGCAGTAGTACAACAGGTAAAGTTATACTTGCCTTGCTTGCACTCCATCAACCCGGGTTTGATCCCCAGCATCCTATATGGTCCACTGAGCACTGCCAGGAGTGATTTCGAGTGCAGAACCAGGCCTAATCCCTGAGCATGGCTGGGTGTGGCCCAAAAACAAAAAAGTAACCCTTGAGCACCCTTGGGTGTGGCCTTAAAAGAAAAAAAAAACAGTGCAAGTCTGGGATCATGTTGTATGCAGGAAACTATATCATATGTCAGTTATACTTCAGTACAATTGTTTATTGTTTGGGGCCACACCTAACTGTGCTTAGGGTGTTCTGCTGGCTCTGTGCTCCTGGATCACTCCTGGTGGTACTCAGAGGACCCTACGTGGTGCCAGGGACTGAACTAGAGACAGTCATGGGTAAGGCAAGTGCCTTAACCTCTGTACTATCTCTCCCTACAATTTGTTGTAATTAAATTTTTTTGGTGGCTTTTTTCTTTTTTTAATTGCTTCTTGGGTCACATACCACATCCCATACCCTTGAGGGCTGAGCACAGTGGGTAGGGTGTTTGCCTTACATACGACCAACCTGGGTTCGATTCCCAGCATCCCATACCACATGGTCCTCCGAGCACCGCCAGGAGTAATTTCTGAGTGCAGAGCCAGGAGTAACCCCTGAGCATCGCTGGGTGTGACCTAAAGAGCAGAAGGAAAAAAAAAAAGCAAATGCCATACCCGCTGTGCTTTTGCTCCGGCCCCACAATTTATTTATTTTTTTTTTTTTAAAGAAAACTCATGGGACAGAGCGATAATACAGCAGGTAGGCACTTGCCTTGCATGTGACCAATCCAGATTCAATCCCCAATACCACATACAGTCCCCCAAGGCTCCAGGAGTAATCCCTGAGTGCAGTCAGAAGTAAGCCTGGGGTGACTCCCTCCAAAAATAGAGAAAACTCACGGGGCTGGAGCAATATTACAACAGATAGGGCATTTGCCTTGCACACAGCCTGATTTGGGTTCGATCCCCCAGAATCCTGTATGGTTCCCCAAACACTGTCAGGAATAATTTCGAGCTCAGAGTTAGGAATAACCTCTGAGCATTGCCAGGGGTATCTCCAAACCAACAAAATAACTTGAGGCAGAGAGATAGTACAGCAGGGAGGACACTTGCCTGGCACGTGGCCAACCCAGGTTCAATACCCCAGCACAGGATAGGTCTGCTTACTTTCACCAGGAGTAAGCCCTGAGCACTGATGGGTGTGGCAAAAAAAAAAAAAATCCCTGGGTCTGACTTCAATCGTTAACCCATGTTCTTCAATTATTTCTAGGCAGAAGGGAAGAGAAGCGGGCGAATTTGCACAGATTAAGCTCCCTATCAGACCCTGGTAATTCAACCAAGGTGCTTAGGTTGAAGTCCTAGTCCTGCCATTTCAAGCTGTCACCTGGGGCAAGTCAACTCTTGTGCCTCAGTTCCTTCCTCTGTGAAAAGGAGATAATATTATTTCTGTAGCATGCGGTAGTTGTGAGACAGATGGAAAGCTACATGAGTTGATCTTAGCTCAAGGGGCTGGAGCACAGACTTGGCATGCAGGGGACCCTAGGGGACCCTAATTTGATTCCTTGCATTGCACAGTCACCCAAGCACTTCTGGGAGTGACCTCCCAACACTAAGGTAAAAGTGGCCCCTAACCATCACAGGATATGACTCCAAAAACAAAAAAATAATGCTGTGTGAGTTACTTTTATTTGAACCTCAAGGAACCCCGTGATAACTTAACAGGGAATAAGTCCTGAGGGTGTTCTGAGTAAAGTATTGTGCTCAGTACTTCACAGGCATTATTGTTCATTTCACCCTCTCAACAATTAGGGAGGGAAAAAATCCACCCTGGATCAGAGAGATAGTAAGTAGGGTGATTGCCTAGATTCAACCCCAGCACTAAATAGGGTCCCTTGAGCTCCACCGGGAGTGAATGCTGAGCAGAAAACAAGGAGTAATCCCTGAGCACTGCTAGCTGTGACAAAAAAATTATTTGGGGCTGGAGAGATAATACAGGGATTAAGGTGATTGTCTTTAGGTTGCTGACCCAGGCTTGATCCCCAGCACCCCCATGTGGTCTCCTGAGCACTACCAGGAGTGTTCTCTGTGCACAGGAGTAAGCCCTGAGCACCACCAGGTATGGGCCAAAGAGAAGTGAAGTTAACATTCATAATCAGGAGGAGAGAGCGCAAGGATTCCGTTCAGGAGTTGAGTCCACACCTACACTCGAGGCCACCTGGCAATTGGGCTGTCTTGTAGAGAGCAAGTTGAACAGGAAGATGCCAGAGAGAGGAAAGTAGTGGGTAAGAATCCATCTAGGAGTGCTAACACTACCCAGGGTGCTCTGCAATTGCCCTCTGGGTGAAATGGGGTGTGGCAGCAGCTAGGACACCAGCAGGTTCAAGTTTGTCTTTGAGCCTGCCCTCTGCACCCCCAGGCAGGTTCTCAGTCCTATTAAAACATCCTTTCCTGGGCCAAAGAGACAGTACAGAGGGTAGGGTGGGTTCGATCCCTAGCATCCCATATAGTCTCCCTGAGCACTGCCAGGAGTGACTCCTGAGTAAGCTGACCCAGGAGTAAGCCCAGAGCAGAATTGAAAATAAAAACAACTCGCCTCAAAATAAAAACACAAGCCAAAAACAAAACAAAAAATGCTTTCCTAAGATCAGTAGTATAGCAAGTAGGACATTTGGCTTGCATTTGGCCGACCTAAGTTTGATCCCCAGCTTCCTGATCCCCAGCCTCCCATATAACCCTCCTGAGCCTGAACACACACAGCTCGGAATAAGCTCTGAGCACCACAAAGGATGGCCCAAAAACAAAACATAAAACACCCTTTTCTCCCACTTGGGAATGCCTACATCTAACTTACCTAGTCACCTCCTTTCTGGGGGTTGGCAAGGTCCCTCCTCTTCACTGGATGACCCAGGAGTAAGCCGAAGCCAGGACTCACCTCTCAGGGCTTCAG